AGGAGAGGAGCAGAGCTGGACACCGGACCTGACTGGGAAGGACACACACACACACACACACACACACACACACACACACACACACACACTGAGCTGGGGGCAAAAAGGCTGGAGCTACAAGAAAAGACACATAAATGAGATGTAGACAAAGGACACATGAGGGTGCTATGAAACACAAAAGGAGAACCTGGAGTGGGAACTGGAGGGGCTGGGGAACAAAGGGACACAGAACATGACAGGTATAAAGGAATGCCTTGTGAGTTCATCTCTGTGGGGAAAAGCTCTGGTGCTCCTGTTTCAGGAACAAGAAGTTAGTTGGAGAAGAAAATGGCAGGATTTGAAGATGTACTCTGTATCATTTACTGATATGCTGACATCTTGCCTCTGATCAGCTGGTTTTTCTACATTTAAAGCAAGACAAGACTGAAGTTCTCATCTTTGGACCCTAAATTCAGAAAAGGAAATTGCTTAGTCAATCACCTGACCTGAATGGCATTACATTAATCTCCGAGAGCAAAGTAAAGAACCTTGGTGTTATCTTTGACCAGAACATGTCATTCAAATCCCATGTTAAACAGGTTTGCAGGATTTCCTTTTTCCACCTTCGGAATATTGCTAAGATTGGAAGCATCGTTTCCAGGAGTGATGCTGAAAAACTAGTTCATGCATTTATTACATCAAGACTGGATTACTGTAATTCATTACTCTCAGGAAGTCCACAGAATGTAGTTAAAAGTCTTCAGCTTGTCCAAAATGCTGCAGCTAGAGTTCTGATGAGAATTAAAAAGAGAGATCATATCTCTCCTGTCTTAGCTTCCCTACATTGGCTACCTGTTAAATTCAGAATAGATTTTAAGATCCTTCTTCTCACATATAAAGCTCTTAATAATCAAGCTCCATCATACATCAGTGATCTGATTGTTCCATACGTTCCTAACCGAGCACTTCGCTCTCAGACTGCAGGTTTACTGGTGGTTCCCAGAATGTCTAAAATTAGGATGGGAGGAAGATCTTTTAGTTATCAGGCTCCTCTCCTGTGGATCCAGCTCCCAGCCTTAGTCTGTGAGGCAGACACCTTGTCTGCTTTTAAGAATAGGCTTAAAACATTTTTATTTGATAGGGCCTATGGTTAAAATCTGATGTTAGCCTAAATCTGGACAAGTGGGGGAGTAGAGGGAGGTGGAGAGTACAGTCGGTAAAGATGGCTCTCCCTTGCCCTGCCTCCAGCATGCCTCCATCTAAAAGTCTAGGTTATCCAGACTTAGCTCTGTGGTTATGCTGCTATAGGCTTAGACTGCTGGAAGACATGCTGACCACTTCTCACACTCTACTGCTTTCTTCTACAATCTGCTCTTTAACTGTATTATTTCCTGCTATTTCAGCTGTTAACTTTATTTTCTCTGTAAGTGTTTTTCTCCCCAGAAGAAGGTACAATGATGTTCTCCCGAGCTGTGGTGGCCTCATGGAGGGGGCCATCGTCTAGCACACTGCTGCTAACCACTTAAACATTCTGCCTCACCTGACAACTTTTGGGTTTCCTTGATGTTGAATGTGCTACTACTAGTTTATCCGTTTAATTATAGATCCACTAGGATAAATACAATAAAGTTTATCTCTCACCAAGTAGAATATTTACTAAGAAATCACAATGTAACTATAGACACATTACTTGGTATATATGCTGTGTGTGAGTGCGTGCGTGTGTTCTGTCCCTTCGATGGTGGATGGCTGCTTATACTGAGCCGGGATTCTCTGGAGGTTTCTTCCTGTTAAAAGGGAGTTTTCCTCTCCACTGTCGCTTAATGCTTGCTTAGTATGAGGATTGCTGTAAAGACACTGACACTATTCAGTGTCGTGTGTGTGTGTGTGTGTGTGTGTGTGTGTGTGTGTGTGTGTGTGTGTGTGTGTGTGTGTGTGTGTGTGTGTGTGTGTGTGTGTGTGTGTGTGTGTGTGTGTGTGTGTGTGTGTGTTAGCCAATGTGAGGGACTTCACTCCTCCCTTGTGGATGGGTGGTGGCCACGTCGGGGTGACGGTACCAGTTGGGTTGCATGCCTGGAGTGCTTCACTTTACGTCTGATCGGTTGCAAGAGTGTCTGGGGTGATTTTGGTTTTGTTTTTCATTAGTTTGGAGTTCTGTCTCCCCGTAGGGATTCGGCACCTCCTCAGTAGCCTCAGCCTGCCCTCTTTTTATAATTATTTTCTTGCCACTTTGGCCTCTTAATAAGTAGTTTTTAGCATTTTTAGTAGTTTTTATTATTTATTTGTGAATAAACTTGTTTCCGTTGTGGAACCCAGTCTCAAGCTCCTTTCTCATAAGAGTGGACCTATGTGTCTTAATACTTGTCCTTGGATATCAAGGTGGCATTGTTGTTTTTACTGTAAGAACATTAACACTCCCAAAGCATACGTCACTAAGCAGACCGCTAACCAAAGCAAAGCGGAAAAGATAAAAACATTTATTTTTATTGACTCAACTCATCTTCCTCAAAGAGGAAGCTTCATTTTGAAAACCCTCGCTTTTGCGTCAGACTCCAGCTGCGGGTCTCCTTTTCCCGTCTTCCAGCTAAACAGCTGATCTGTTTGCTGGTCATTCATCCTTCTCCTCCTTTATAAACAAGAGCCCACTAAACTACAGAGAAGTAACAATCTGTCAAAGATCGCTGCAATACCTGAAGTTCACACCTGCTGTCACAGAGCGTCCTCTGTCTGCTCTGCAGCAAAACGCTACTGAACCATCCTTATCAGTTAACTGTGTGAAATAGCCACCAACAGCAAAGGGATCTCATGTTTTTGTGTTTTATTTTTTATGTTCATGAGCTCATCTCCTCTCAGCTCTCACAGAATCACGGTTTTTTACAATTTATTTGGTGGTCTAAAATGCTGTTTCATTATTTTAGTACAACTGTGGTTTAACTTTGGCTGTTAAAGAAATAAGAACTAGTGTGTAGTTTATAATCTGCATTTTAAACATAAATTGTGACCGAAGCTCAGAGACGCGGAGTCTTGCTGCTGCGGCGTCCCAAAGGTGTGTTTTCATTGGTCGGTTGCAGACAGGAGTCGTAGATTTTCAAGCAGTGATTGAAGACTTTTTTAGGCTGATTTGATCGTCGGACGGCTCAAAAAGTTGTCGCAGAGCCAGTCACATTGTCCGTTCACAGTATGGTGCACAGATATGCAAATCACCCTGACGTTGACCGTTTTTGTCACGATTCTGCTCAGAATGAGGAACTTGGCAAAGACGGCCAAAATCGCAGTGTGATCCCGGCATAAGGCTGTTCTGTGGCTCTTAAAAGAGTCGCTTCGTCTATAATCACCCGCAAGCATTGCAGAGAGGCTTTGACCTTGAGGTCAAAAGATAGGATGGTCTTAAAATTCTTGTTCACCGGTTTGGCCAAACCGGGAGTCAGCTAGAAACTGAATTAGATCCGGAAGCAATTCTGTTTTATCACCTGCCTTACTTATATACTTGTACAACTCAGAATATGACACGACTGAAGGCATTACCCAAAATACCTCAGAAGCTCACGCCTTCCCTCAGATACTGACCGGTTTATTCTCAGTGTGAAATGGAAAGGTATTTAACACTTGTGTTAAGTGTATGTTAAACATTAATAATAACCTTATTATAATGTGTATGAGTCAGGGGCGTGTCCAGGGGGTGGCCTGGGGTAGCACATGCCATCCTTGGAATCTGATTGGCCACCCCAGGTGCCAACACACTAATTTCTTTAAATAGGCTTTTCATTGTCCACAAAAGGCTTGGAGGTTAAAAACAAAAAAAGCATAACCATTGGTAGGGATGGGTACCTTTGGCATTTGAATCGATCCGGTACTAATTCCCGGTACCTACGAATCGATACCGGTACTTAACGGTACCAATTTTCGATACTTTTGAGTGTTTAATATTTTAATTCTCTTTTATAATTAAATATATATTTTTCTCAATATATAACAATATTTGATAAATATCACGATAAATAACATACAACTGTTTGTATTTTAACATCGTCCTTGTAGTTTTATAAGCTGATAATTAAACTGAAGCAAACATCTTTACTGTGAACTAAATTTACTGTTTATCTTCATTCCTTTTGCCGTCATTTTTCATTTGATTTTTCCTACTGGGAAGTTAGAATTTCCGAGGAGAAAGCGAACGCACCATTAGCTGATAACAATGGTAGCAATGGAAGCTAAGATATCAAGCTAACGTTATCTTAAACAGTTTATTTAGCTGCTGGAGCAGATTAAAACGATGATGCCTCACACTTAGATCGTTGTCGCTGGTTTCATCTTCACCCAGTCACCCGTCGCATTTAGTAAAGTGAAGCCAAACTTTAGAGCGCGTTCATGTTCTTCTAATCAGGAATTCGGAGTTCCGAGGAGAAAGCAAACGCACCATTAGCGAAACCGAAGCTAACATATCAAGCTAATTATATTTACCTACCGGAGCAGATTAAGATGAGGATGTCTCACTTAGATCGTTGTCGCTGGTTTCATCTTCACCCAGTTACCCATCACATTTAGTGAAGTGGACCCAAGCTTTAGCGTGCGTTCTTTCTACCATGCTGCTCTGTTTACAACTGGCTCGCAGCAAGCGACGACATAACGCTCTTGCGCATGCGCAGCTGTCTTGGCAAGTTCTCGTTATGAAGGACGGGTACCGAAACGAGGCACCGTTTGAAATGACGTGAATCGGTGCTCGGTCGGTACTGTGGAATTCGGTCGGTACCTTAAAAAGTACCGAATTCGCTACCCTTCCTTATCAGACACTCTACTACTAGGGCATTAAGCTGATTATCTATATTCTTTTGACACCTTATTTATACCAGCCCCCATTATAGCCTACCTGACCTTATTATTTCCCTCAGACAAAAAGAAGCATATTCCTATACAAAAACGAAACCTGCAGTTTGAATTCTGGGTATGATTAATAAAAAATGTTTCTAAAGAGCTTATGTTTTATTTGCATACATGTTTGTTTACATGTCTGGTCTCTACAGGACAACAACGCTCTTGCTGTTGTTCTCAGCATGATAGGAAAGTTTGCTGTGGCGATTGCCTTTGGTCTCATCTACCTGTACACCTGCGAGCTTTACCCAACTATCATCAGGTGAGATGCAGTCAGAACATATCAGAAGAAGTCTGATCTGTGTTTTCTATATCAAATTTTGTACAAATACATTCTAAAACAAAACTTTTCAAGCGTATAAATCGGATTATTGATGCTGTTTATGTTTTGTTTTTTACCCTATTTTGATCAAATCGCTGATGTGGATCGCACGTTTTCCTCCCTCAGGTCTCTGGCTGTGGGCAGTGGCAGTATGATGTGTCGTGTCGGCAGTGTGGTGGCTCCTTTCTGCGTGTATCTAGCAGATGTCTGGATCTATCTACCTCAGGTACACAAGCTCGCTGTTTCTTTCTTGTAAACTTTTCACATCAGTGCACATTGTTCAGCAAATTGTCACCAGATTATTCTGGGGGACAAAAGGATGAAATATCTTTTGATTATTTACAGGGAGACAAAGCAGTTTTGGCTTGCTTTTAGCACCCCCTAGTGTCCGCTATTGAAATCAGTAGTGAAAATCTTCTTGCTGTGTCTTTTAACCCTCCCAGGATCAAATTAAGTTTTGATAAAAGGACGAACGACTAAGTTCTTCAGGGGTACTTCTCAGTTAAAAAATGCTCATGAAATACGTGTGTGGAGTAACCAGGTAGGTACTTTTTAACGTAGCAAATGTGTAACGCCTGCCTCCAGAGGGTTAAACGTCTTAATCTAACAGCTGAAATGTCTCCTCAGCCTTCATTAGATTCTGCGGGAGCGTTCCATCACTAAATTAAACAAATCAGCTGTGTTCACGATCGAAAACATGCAGGAAATGTGCTGGAAGCAGACTGCAGTGCTGGCATGTCAGCTCCACTTTACGAAGTCCAACAGGGACCAGATCGGCACTCTGAAGTTGCAAGTGCGGTATTCTGCCACAGAGGGCTGTGGGGTCTGAGTGACATTTCATTAACCCAGAAAAGGGTAGTTTTGGCACATAGTGGCAGAAGAAAGTGATTTAAAAATATGAAAAATTTGCATAGCATGCCTGTAACCATTCACTTTTGCATGTTAGCGTTTTGAGGCTTCGTACAGAACAAAAACAAGAATACACAATCTGTCCTTAAATTAGACATGCAAATGTAACATCTGTTCTGCGACACTAACATGGTTACCTTAGAGAACATGTTTTTCTTCATTGATCAATGTGTCCATGCAGCTAATTGTGGGAATCCTGGCCTTCATTATTGGAGTTCTGACCTTGCTGTTACCCGAAACGCTGGGCAAACCTCTAACCACCACCCTAGAGGAAGCTGAATCTCTTGGATGCAAGAAGAAGTCCAAGAAAGGTGCAGAGGGTGGAATGGAGCTGAACCAGAGCGAAGCAGCTAAGGTCTGAGCATATGTCCTGCAGGAAAAACAAAAACTGTTTGGAAAATAAGAGACAACCATGAGAGGAGACGTGAGCATCAATTTATTGGATTGTTGTTTGATCAACAGTTGAAAAAGGATTCTGAGAAATCATATAAACCCTTCTTACACACACCAGTCCTGGTGCCTTACAATTTTAATAATACTGTGTGCTACATGTGTACTATTTATAGGTGTTGACATGAAACATTCATTTAGCTCTATTATTAATGTAAAGTGCTTCTTTAATTTAAGTTAACATTTCAAAAAGTTTAATCTCAGGGCAAATTAACACACCACTATAAATCTATCATGCCTAAAAGGATTCAAACGTATCAGTCTCAGAATTTTGAGAGATGGAATGGTTTTACCTTGGACTGTAAGCATGGACATGTTTTGAATATGTGTGCAAAGTTTGAGTTTCAGTGTAAAAGTACATCACCACCAAGAGGACATCTCCAGACATTCGGACCAAATACAGTTAGACGAATATTCAGCCAGTTTACAGAAATATGTTTAAATCTTGTGATGGAGGAAGGTTTCAAGACAAGCATTCTGGATGTTTTTAGTGAAGTCATTTTTACGTCACTGTGGAACAACAAACACACGTTGTTTTGTGAGATACAAATTTTTCATGCTTATACTGAAAAGAGGCAAAACATCGTTAAATAAATTATTTATAAATGAGAAAACTTTGGACCTCCATGTTTGTTTTAATAAAGGGTTGCATTTTAAAAATCAGAACTTTTTTTTAGCTTTTCTTCATCCGTTTGACTGGTTCCTATATTGGGATGTTTGTGCCTATGAAGCAGCCTTACAGTGAACAGCTGAGCAAGGAACACTTGGCAGCTTTGCTTGCTTTTAGCTCCCCCTAGTGTTCGTTTAGCAGAACCAAAAGCAACACTTATCTCCTTGCTGTGCGTTTCCCTTTTTAACACCTTAATCTAACAGCTGAAATGTCTCTCCAGCCTTAATTAATGTCTAAAGGAGCGGTTGATGACTAAACCAAACATATCAGATATGTTCATGCCTGGTGCAGACTGCAGCGCCAGGCACGTCAGCTCCACCAGACAGGCACTCTGAAGTTGCAAATGCAGTATTCTGGCCACAGAGGGCGGAGGGGTCTGAGTCACGTTTCATTAACTGTGTAAAGGATCATTTAGGCACATGCTGGCTCAAGAAAAATACTTAAAAATCTGAAAAAGTTGCATAGTATGCCTTTAAAACTGGAACTCAAGGGTCTTTTTAACTTGTCAAATCTATAAGACATTGTAGAAACAGAAAACACACACACACACACACACATACATATATATTCATATATATATATACGTATATACACACATATATATATATATATATATATATGTGTGTATATACGTATATATATATATATATACATATATATACACATATATATATATATATACATATGTATGTATGTATGCATGTATATATATATATATATATATATATATATATATGTATGCATGTATATATATATATATATATATATATATATATATATATATATATATATATATATATATATATATAAATATATATGTGTGTGTGTATGTATGTATATAGTCCAATTTTCCTGCCCAATGAAAATACCTAAAACATGAAGAGACACAATCTGACTGAACTTGTCAAATTTCCTGCAAGAAAAGGTTAAAAGTGCATTCTTTATGGGAAAAATAATTAGGGCATTAAACCAAAATTGGGGAGATAACAATAAACAATCAGAAAAATAGATTTGGTATTTAGGAAATTTTGACAGTTTTTACACAAACACATTTTAAATTGTTTTTTTTTTTTTTTTTTTTTTGATTGTTGGAGAATTTTACATTTTTTCATTGGTGGTTGCTTTTCCGTACACAAATCATATGTCTAGTGCTTGTCTGCTTTTGCCCGTTGTCTCACAGCTGTGGGGCTTTTGGTTTTCCGTCAAATCCCATTAACCGAGCAGAAAGTGCACTCCGAACCCTCCGTAGACTTCAGTTGGGTTTTAGCTTAAAGTCTCTTTGAGACAGAAACTCGAGGGTCTTTTTAACTTGTCAAATTGACAAAAGACACCGTGGAAACAGAGAGATTCTAATTAGTGACTATCAGAGCCGTTTGCTGCTCATGGTTCCTGCCTCTCATTTAATTTAGTGTCTAGTGTTAGAGATACAGATGTGTGGTTACCATGGTGACCTTAATGTCCCATTAGCAGCAGCTTTAACACATCTTTAATTTTATTTCTTATGGCACTTCTTCCAGTTTGTCTCAAAGCATTTAGTCTCAGCTTAGATTGTCAAGTAGAATTCAAAAGTAGCTGTAGCATCACCCTTCTGCTGTTCTTCAGAAATGTTCTAGTTTCCTGTTTTCTGCTGAAAGAAAAGGCTCCATTGTGTCAACGCGCGTTTACTTAGCACCACCATTCACATAAACCCCCGTGTGTGTTCAGCCTGGGTGGAAAGCTGGAGATGGATGGCCTGAGTGTGTGTCTGCATGTGTGTGTGTGAGTGTGGGTGTGTCCCAGGATGAGAGTGTAAATGCAATTCTCAAAATGATTTAAAAGTAGAATGCCAGGTTTCGACAGAGTAAACAAAAATGTGTTGACCCCTAAAGGCACCACTGGCCAGCTCTGGAAGAGGGAATGTGGCAACATGAAAACAAGTAAATGAAAAACTTTATCAAGATTTTTATGAAGGAGAAACTATGATGAAAGTTGAGGCTGATGTTCAAAATGTAGTTTAAGGCATCAACACATGAATGTTCCTTGTTTGTGTCCATGTGCAGGACGTAAGAGATTCTGCTGTTGTCCAGATGGAGGCGCTGTAGGTCAAGTAGAGCGGCTGTTTTCTGAAGGAGTTTTAATAGCAATAAAACAAACTGAATCTACTGTAAAGATGTCCTACTCAGAGTTTGTGTTGTGATTTCATCCTGATGAGAGTAAAAGACTGAGTCTCACTGTTTTACTCCGGCTGAACTACAGCATCTATTCTCAGGTGTGGTCCCACTACTGAGCGGTACGGGGGCTTTGACCTGCTCCGTCTCCGACCTGGGCCGGTGCACCCCTCCTTGGTCAACCTGGTGGTCCCGGGCTCCCCCAGGAGCACCATATCGATACCGAACTTAGTGCGGACACCTGATCAGCATAGTCCACAGCAGCCCAGAACTCCTGAGCTCAAACGATCCTCCAGCCTCCACCTCCCAGTAGCTTGGATTACAGGCACGCGCCACCGCACCCGGTGAGGACCTGAGGACCAGACAGGAGATTTAACCGTTGGATTATTTCATCTGGACAACAGCTGAACAGCACCAGCCTCTCTGATGCCTTGTGTCACCTTTTTGTAGAAGAAGACCATCTTTTATATAGCGCCTCTCTAGAAAAAAATCACGAAGCGCTTAAAAAAATGAAAGTCTAAAAAGATTTCAAAAATTATTAAAACAATGTTTAAAATCAGAAAAGAAAAAAATGCAAGGGGGGGGGGGATGAATCAGAAAGAGAGAAATCAGGGGATCCCGGGAAAGACAGAATTAGTAGGAAGAGCAGAACAAGGGGAGGGTGGTGATGAAGGTCATGCCAAAGCTTGAACAAGTGAGTCTTCAGCTGCTTTTTAAAGGAGACCACTGAGTCCACTGATCTCAGGCTCAGGGGGAGAGAGGTCCAGAGTCTGGGGGCCACAGCAGCAAATGATCTGTCACCTCTGACCTTTAGCCTGGTGCTGCACAACCAGTAGGCTTTGATCACTGGACCTCAGGGACCTGCTGGGGGTGTAGGGACTAAGAAGATCACCAATGTAAGATGGTGCTTGTCCATGTAAGGCCCTATAGACCAGAACCAGGATCTTGAAATGAACCCTGAAGTTGACTGGCAGCCAGTGAAGCTGGAGGAGAAGCGGGGTGATGTGGGTGTGTGGGGGATTACAGGGAGGTGGAGTGTACAGTCGGTAAAGACGGCTCTCCCTTGCCCTGACTCCAACATGCCTCCATCTAAATAGGATAGATTATCCAGAGTTATCTCTGTAGTTATGCTGCTATAGGCTTAGACTGCTGGAGGACACACTGACCACTTTTCACACTCTACTGCTTTCTTCTACTATCTGCTCTTTAACTGTATTATTTCCTGCTATTTCAGCTGTTAACTTTATTTTCTCTCTAAGTGTTTTTCTCCCCAGAAGAAGCTACAACGATGTTCTGCTGAGCTGTGGTGGCCTCATGGAGGGGGCCATCGTCTAGCACACTGCTGCTAACCACTAATACATTCTCTCTCTCCTGATAATAACTTTTTGCTTTCTTTGACGTTGAATGTGCTACTATTAGTTTACCCGTTTAATTATAGATCCACTAGGATAAATACAATAAAGTTTATTTCTCACCAAATAGAATATTTACTAAGAAATCACAATGTAACCATGCACACATTGCTTGGTGTGTGTGTGTGCGCGTGTGTGTGTGTGTGTGTGTGTGTGTGTGTGTGTGTGTGTGTGTGTGTGTGTGTGTGTGTGTGTGTGTGTGTGTGTGTGTGTGTGTGTGTGTGTGTGTGTGTGTGCTCTGTCTTCTCGATCCCCAGTGAGTCGTGGAGGATGGCTGCTTATACTGAGCCAGGATTCTCTGGAGGTTTCTTCCTGTTAAAAGGGAGTTTTCCTCTCCACTGTCGCTGCATGCTTGCTTAGTATGAGGATTGCTGTATAGTCACTGACACTCAGTGGTGGGCAGTCAGGGCCAGCAAAGCCTTCTCTGCTGGCCTAAACGTACTCAAAAGCGTAAATGTATTTTTTTTCCTTTGGTAATTATTTTTAAAGAAAAAAAATGTTTACTGGTCTATTTTCTTTATATCCTATTATACCCACTTGGCTGCGCTGCTTCCAGTGTTAAAATACGAAGGCTGGGTGTTATCCAATCAGATTTAAGCTAGCTTGTGTTTTCAGGCAGATTAAGTCTGCTCTAGGCCTTCAGAATCAATCGAGAAGCCCACTGTCCGCTGTAAGTGAACAGAGACGAGCCAGTTGCGATAGCCAATCAGCTCACGAGTCAGCGTGGCCCAGGCCAGCTAGCTGGCCTCACGCAAAAGTTGACATGAACGCATCCTGTGATTGGATAAGCAGTAGTTAGAACTTTTCTAGCGGCATGAAGCAAAATATCAAAACTAAACACAGAGATTTGTATCTATAGGCAGCTATCGGTGTGTTTTTGAACACATGATGGCTGAAAGAGGAGAAGAGACAGACTTGGTGGCAGATTTACTTGCCACACCATTTTCAAGACGGACCTTTCAAGAAAAAGTGGATATTGTGAGAACAGGTCGTCCGACTCCAATGCTAGCTGGCTTGTCCCAGCAGGGGAAAGGATTTGTTCGTCATTGTCAGGCAAGCAACTATGACCGGTACCCATGGCTAACAGCTTCAGAGAACCGCTGCAGGTTATTCTGCTGGGAATGCCTGTTGCTCGCATCAGATGGATTTGGTAGCATTAAAGCGCGTTAAAACGTACGCCAGAAACACGACCGGGCAGACACGGCTTTCAGCATTAGCCTCCATGTCCATAGAAAAGGATCCACTCATGGACCTGAAGTGCACGGATAAACTGTACAGAGCCACTGAGGTTTTCCTGAGGAAAGAAAGAAGGATGGATTTTATTTTCTAATGAGCAGGAGAGGAGGAGATCCATGCTGGACATTTATGTTGGTGAGTAGAAACATTTTATTAGTATTTTTTTAATGTTATGTCATTTTATTTTGTTAATAATCAATGGTAACAAAATAAAATGGCTAAATAAAATAATTCTATGTGTTCTGTTTCTATGCAATTTATATTGTGAATGACGTGGTGTGTGCAGCTGCGCCAACATGTTCAATTGTTTCGCGGTACAATTTTCTCCAAAACAAATGCAAATAATGTGTTTGCTTTACTTATTTATTTTATTGTCTCATCTCTTAAACCCGTCTTTCATTTTTGAAATTTGACAGTGTCCGTGGTCTTAGTTTACTACTCTCAACTGGGAATGCTAGTTTGATTATAAAGGCTCCGGAAATTATGTGTCTTGACCAGCCACTGGTGTGTGTGTGTGTGTGTGTGTGTGTGTGTGTGTGTGTGTGTGTGTGTGTGTGTGTGTGTGTGTGTGTGTGTGTGTGTGTGTGTGTGTGTGTGTGTGAGGTTTCTCCAGCTGTGATGTCCTATTGATGGTATTTTAAGGTGTATTAAATTAGATTGGACTGAATAGGAAATCACTGAAGGCCCAGGGGTGGAACGCACCGCCCGCC